AAGTGGAGTGGAATAAGTTTACCTAATGTATTTATAAGTATTGTAAGGAGTTTATTTAGAGAGTATGAGTTGTAATAATGCATGATTGATGATGTCACTGGGAGAGTACAGACAACAGGTATGGATTATAGTGACACATCATTTGATGTCACACTCTCATTAATTGTTATGATAAGGCATTCATAATGAACACACTAAATTTACTTTTTGCATATATTCTTTATTAAATCTTTATTACAAGCCAATTGATAGGTGTTTAATGCAATACAATAGTGATTAAAAATCATTTAAGATTAGGAAGTGCATGAGAGGTGAGAACAATTATGTTAAAGGTGTTAACAATGAAGGTGGGAAAAAGATGTGAGTGAAGTTACTTTTTACTTTGTTAATTTGAAATAGTAACAGTGCATATGTATTCCATGTATTGGTAATCTAAGGCCTGGTTCACAATATGACCGTCAATTTTTAATCAAAAGAGTGGGCGATTTGACCTTTTGACGCATGCTTTCCGCTGGAATCGATCCAGATTCGATTCCAGCATCAACATAACGTCAGGACTAGCGTAATATTGTGAACCAGGCTTTAGCCTGCATGTATACATAAGGCTAACTTTTTGAGCAAATATAAATTTAATTTTAACTACACGAACATAAGAACAATGTATATGCATCAGAAATCTTTCAAAAAAGTGTTCTTTTACTGTTTTGCAAGTTATGAGCACTATGCCAATCCTGTTGCATGTAGTAGACCATCAAAAGAGTATCAAGTTCATAAAAATCACTAAAACAGCAAACCAATACAAATTATCAAATGTTGCAATCGAACAAAACAGCAATTAAGTATCAATATTAATATTAAAATCAAATCTCAGTTCATTTCTAATGGCTTCAATCCAGCCCTCACCTAAAGCTATTGCTGCATTAGCATAACTGCCTCTTACAGCAATGAATGAGCTTAAGAACTTTTGACAGTGCTCCTCCACTTGAGGTAACTTCCTCATAAATTTAAGACTAGCCTTGAACTCATCAATGCACTTCTTTATTGAAGGATTGTCTTTAACAGCATTATTGACCAAACGAAGAGCAAATAATTGATTGGCAAGATCAGGGACAGCTTCTATTGGCAGTGAAGTAAGATCAGCATAATGAGATACAAGAACATCATCGATCACATTCTTTACTTTATTAACATCAACAGTAGCTGATATACCTAATAGAGGTCAAAGGTCAATGCAACCCAATACATACAAACCATGCATAAACACACACACACACGCTGTTACTTACTAGCTCCTCCAGTGGATAATGCAGTAGCTTCAGTAATTGTAGTGGAGGAGGAGGAGTAGGTAGTAGGATCTAATTAGTATTAAATAAATAAACAATTGAAAAGATTTATCTATTACTTTTTGAAGGAGAAACAGGAACAGTGAGATTTCTTCGTGCTCTATGAGTGTTTAATGCAACTGGATCAGCCATACCGGTACCTTCCAGTAGTGATATAAGACAAGATGAAGGATGAGAAAGCTCTAACCTTTAGTGATCTGTTTCTCCATAAGTTGTTCCTCTAATTGTCTCTTCTCTTCCTCTAATTGTTTCTTTTCTTCTTCTAGTTCAGTTATATATACTTCATTATAAGCAACTGCAGCTCTAAGTTTCTCAATATCTTCTACATTAATAGACTCATCTAATATTATGTACTGATGATACACTAACCAGTAAGAATCTGTTTCTCTTGTAAAGCATCTTCCAATTTTTCATTCATAAAAACTAAATTATTGCCATCAAATGTAGAGCCTAAGAAATCAATCAGTAGTCAGCCTATTGCAGTATAAATTACTATTTAACAAAGTTTACAATGATGCATAAGGCAATGTAAATGGCATGAAGCATAAATAGGATGCACATGTAGATATTATGACACACATAAACATGTACATGTACCTTGTTTATTGGTCTCAGTCAGTGCCTCCTGCAGTGATACTTTGCTCTGGTGAGCCACTTGTAGTTCTTGATGTAAAGACTGAATGTATCTCTGAAGCTTCATTTCCTTCTCTGTGGGATATTCTATTAGCTGATCCATCCACCATGTTCTGGTCTTGCTGTATGATGAATACTTTTCTTGATATTTCTTACTAGTGAGATCATTACCATCCAGTATTGACTGTACTATCCACTCACCAGGTTCAATATGTACTGAAATAAAAAAAATACATTTATTATTACCGAGGTATGTGCTTCACTTTTACCTTACCTAATTCAACTATCATTATTAATCTATCAGCATCAGTGATTGCTTTATGATTCACCCAATCTCCTCCTATAATTACTAGCCACACACAGTTTGGTGA